ATTTTTGCATGATATTTTCATACAGGACATCTGTTGTTCAAACTCAGGGAAGACTTTATATTGATGAATAAGGTGACCAAGTTTGATGAAGTTTGGAATAGAATTAGTAAAGTTATTATGCACACAATAACAATTATTGACGACGACAATGACAACAACGACAACGACGGACAAAATTTTTCCCTTAATATACCTTTCCCTTCCATCTTTGATGGTACGGGCAAGGTAAAAATACAATGGAAAATTCATGCTCATGGTAGCTTGTATAATAGCTCCAGCAAACGATGCATTTTATGTTTGAATGAAAAATTTATCATAATTTTTAGACCCCACCACTCCACATCAAACAAAAGAAATGAACTTGTCATCATGCCGACACAGATCAAAAGCTCTAATATGTAACAATTAAACTTTCCATTTAATTTTAATTAATATGTTAATTTGCGAAGCTTATAATGTATGCTCTTTGGTGCAGTGAACTATTAAACATAAAGCACCTGATGAGTGAGGTACTTGTACCTTACGAAACAGAGCTGTCCAGTTTCAATATTCATGTAGTTGTGTATTAATTCCTCTATCACCGTGTATATATATATATAAAATATGCTTATGTACATTATGTACTATATCATGATCCATGAAATGATGTAAACCATGTTTGAAAAAAAATACAGAGATGTTCATTTTGTTTGTAATAGAAGACGTACTTACACAGTTGGGATATACTCCCCTGGAAATGCATTTGTTGTGTAACTGATGAGTAAACAGGTTTTACCAACCGCACTATAAGAGAACAAAAATAATGTCATATGATGTATGATTGTATGATGGCTTATGGCATTACTAATTGACAATTAATAATATCACACATTAAAATCATTATTCCACTATTAGCAGCACATTTATTTCTGTGAATAACGATGTTCCTGGTCAAACTAAGCCTTTATTACAATATAGCCCAATTTGCCTAACAAGATGTTAACTTGGCTCAACCAAGGTGGCTAAAATTATATTTTCGCTAGCAGGGGTATGGAATATTAAGTCTATGAGAAACTAAATATCCTAATACCGTTGAACATAGTAACATATATAATGTTTTATAGACAATTTTGTTCTAATATTTGTCATGTAAAGTATCACGTCAGTGGAAATCAAGAGTAGGGCGTGGGAAATACCAGTTACGTTTATATACTGTCATTACAAAATGTTTATCATAAAAAGTTGCAAGCAACAAGTAGCATGGTTGCCTGCCAGCTGGATTATTGGAGTGGGTGAGGGCAATGGTATGATAAAAAATAACTGCTGACACAATTACAGATTCACTAAATGTGAAATATTTAGAATGACATAAAATAAAAAAACATAGTTGAACTCTGGTGGCGTTGCCCTTTGTTATATAATATAATTCCCTTTATCATAGTTTGTTTCAATATAAATATGCATTGTCATAATTAATTTTGAATACAAACAAGTTTTGGGGTTGAACCAACAGTGGGGAATCAGTCTACCGAATGTCCTTAAAAGATGTAAATATCTTACAAAAACATTGGTGCCTTATTTGTTTAATTATTTTAAGGGACATAATTCAGATATTTTAGTATAAAAACAAATGTCTCATTGAAAAAAAAAGTGCTGCATTTAGATTCATAAAACATGCAAGATAACAGAAAATTTTAGCTGGCTTTAGTCCAAGTATTTTGTACAGGTGTCTGTCAAAAATTAATGATTCACTGAGACAAATATGAACTGCCTCATTGTGTGACTACTGTATTACCGTACTCGACCGCGTTAGCGCCCATGCCCGGGCAAGCGCCCACCCCCCACTTTTGCACAATTTTTATATTTGGGGTCACATTTGGCAAAGCGCCCACCCCTTCAAAATGCAACTAATTTAAAACTTGGTCTTGCGTAATGAATCTTGGTAATCGTTTTTATATGATATAGCGTGGATATCGATCGCTGTGAACATGTGAATGCGTAGAACACGGTAACCGTGCGTAAATTACGTTTCGACAATGACCTGTTAATACAAGTAAAATGCGATAAATATTTCATGCCATATTCAGTTTACCTCTCAAAAATGGCTAGTTACTAGTTTTTCGGAAAACCATGTCGTTTATTCGCTGAAATCAAGAGATCGTACTTCAACATCGATTATTCACTTCCGCATTGCGTTACCGGAAAGTCTTCGGGAATTTTCGAAGAATCGCGTCAGTGCAACACAGCATTCTGATTAGTTAATAACCAACTTGACCCATTAGGTCAAAGGACGCTGCTGTAGGTCAAATCTGCAATTGCATCATGGCGGAAAGTGATTTTCATCGAGAGTTTGCGTACGATCCAACAACTTCGTCAGTGGAAATATGACAATTTTGACTTCGACTGTGTTCCAACAAACTCAAATGTTTTTAATTCCGTAAATTATGGCGGTACGTAATTAATATTGTAATAAAATGTACGTATTTTT